ACGATTTTACTAAAAAGGATTTAAAGGTGTGCATACCGAGGTCGTTCGCTGAGAGATTCGGAGTCTTTCGAAACATTCCATGTTTATACAGTGTAGACGATATAATTAAATACGTCGTAACCCATATTCCGATCAGGTCCGCTGTCCGTTTTCAAAGAAGGAATCCCAACAAAGATGAGTAGATTCCCACAACCAAACTAAGTCAATCAAATTTAATTATTGTTATCTGCCAGTTGAGTACTTTGTACCCACCTTAAAGCATTGCTTTAAAAGCATTGCGTTTCAAAATTCTGCAAAGCTAAGGAGAGCAGATGAGTGAACTGTGGGAAGTCTTTGAGGAGTGTGAACTGTGAGACGATGAAGTGCTTGTCCTGTGGTTCAGGTGGGCACAACACGTTCAACAAGTGTTGACCTACAATAACAATTACACTTCATTGGGCAAGATGTCGGCCATTTCGAGTAAGGACGTCAATGAAAATGCCAATAAAATTTTAACCAGGAATAAATTTAATGCTATCATCAAAAGGAAATCTCTCCAAATCTCTTATCAGTTCACCCACCAAACCTTCTCTCAATTCACCCCCAGCCGTCTGGAACAAATCTTCGGCGTCCAGTAATTTCAAACAACTATTTGCGTTCCTCAAAACTTGAAAGATTAATCTTTGTGATTAACACGTTAAGGACGGTGCAGTTTTTCCTATTTCGCTTCACTGGGCGGCAGCAAAAATCGTACTTTGCTTTATCTGGCGGCGCCTTGCACAAAATGTTCTTTACCGAAACTTCATACCCTAACGTGTAGGTTCCTTTTGTTCTACGTTTATTATATCATATACGCAGCGCTCATACCCACGGATCGTTGCGTGCATGATATGTGGTACTGTAAAAGTGAATAGAAGATTTCTATCAGTATTAGCAAAACTAAAACAAAAACGAGGTGACATTGTAAATGGTGCAAATCCTAAAGGAGTTAAATTCCTAAAAGGGACAGATAAAATTTTTCTTTGCATGTTAATTACTTGCAAAAAAAGGCGTTGATGTTTTTCAATTTAGAGAAAATATTATTGACCGGCTCCTGGATGAAATGCGTACAGAATCACTAAACCTAAAACCTAAAAGAGTATCTGCACATTTTCTTCAGAAGTATCCGGGGACTGCAAGAAAGTCGCGAAAACGATGTCCTGAATGTTATAAAAACTTATCTGCTGGACGAGGTAGAACTACTGCTTCAAAAACATCGAAAAGGTTTACAACGTTTTACCGATTTTGCGAAGGTGAACTAACACTATGCCTTGAATGTCTTAAAAAAACCCACAAGAAGGAATAAGTAAACATATTAACTGTAATATAGCCTACCTAAAAAAAAAGCTCTTGAATTTTTCAATAAAAAAATTATTTTTAACCATAAAGTTTTTTCCATCTAATAAAACTATAGCTGATGTGAGCCACATGTCGTACACGCCGCCAGATGAACCATTCACGTGTATGCCACCGCTGGTACACGTCTCCAGATAAAGCATTCGCTTGTGAGCCACCGTTGGTACGCGCCGTCCTTAACGTGTTAAAGAAAGTATCCGTCCGATGACCCCTCATAATCTTATTAAAGATTTTGAGCAAAAAATGTCTGTCTGTGCCAATTCTCGGCCCCTTCAAGCACCCAGCACTACGACGAAATCCGCCGGGGTTCCTTCTCAAGTTTAAATATGGTGTCTTTTTACAATATAATATCCAAAGTATTCGTTTTCGGACTTTTACTTGAACTCAAATAAGGTTGATTTCTGAGTAAAGTTTTTCTGGAAAATGAAAATGGTTTTGAAGTTAAAGTTTCGAATTATGCTTCGGCCATCAAATGCTGAAATGATGACTACGGCGGTGTTAGTATATTTTTAAGAAAGGTGTCAATTTCAGACGTATTCCTTACAACTCTGCTGTTGATATTATCATCATCATCAAGAACTTTAAACCGAATCTTTTCATAGCATTATGCTACTTTCCACCCAGTCTCGGTGTACAAACCTTTCGAGATAGGATTCAGAGATTATTTGACTTTCTCGACGGCGAACAAAATGTGATTCTAGCTGGAGATTTCATTCAAGACATAGCTTGTGTGGCGATCAAGTCTCAACCAACAAATGCAAGATCCTTGTGAATGCTATCTATTCCAGTAGTTTCAGTGTCTTAAATAATGGCAATCCTACCTTTCACGGTAACGGAGTGGTCGCACGGCGAGCAGTATGTTGAATCTAACTTTCTCGAATTCAACTAGTTTATCATTCAACTGGAACACGTCCAACGTTTCCATTAGCAAAAGCCGGCACTCTCACATTTTATTCCACACAATTCCGTTAAGAAAACAGAAAATTTCATTTCACGCAACTTCCTTATTGACGGTCTGTCTAACGTTGATCTTCCTTCTGATTTATCATCAATTCAAAGTGCCTTTCGGTCTGTGATCAAGTCTGCTAGAACCAACTTTCCAGACATTGAGTCCTTCTCACCTAAACTTTGGTGGAACTCTTCCCTGTTAACACTTTTCCACAAGTACCAAGCTGCAAGGAAAAAAAATTAGTAAATATGCCAATCCAGCCAACTACATTGAATATATGAAAACACTGAAAGAATGGAGGTCTGCAGTTAGAAAGGCGAAAAGGACACATAGAGGTATCGCGATTAAAGATTTTTGTGGTAACGGCAACCCACGTTCTTTCTGGAATTATATCAATGGTCATTGACATTCTAGTCGAATATTAAGCGGTTGTGCTGTATGGAATGACCATGATAATAAAAAATACTTAGATATGCTCAAGAGCTACATTCCAAATGTCAATCCGATTACCATACCTTCAATTCCTTTTAGTAGTCTCTGCGACACACCCTTTTCATTGCATGAGCTAATTTATGTTTTACATTCCAGAAAGAGAGCTACTGCTGCAGGTTGTGATGGAGTCAAGTATGACATGCTCAGAGCACTGTCTGGAGGAAGCCTCAGTATTTTTTTGCATGCAATTAACAACTGTTGGTCCATCAACTTTATACCCTCAGATTTGCGATGCATCAAAATATTTCCCATTCCTAACGCAGGTTAAGATTTAAATGATTTAAGTAGGTTCAGACCAATTTCACTGTATTCATAAAAACTATCAACTTCATGGTTAAGGAGAGACTAACTGGTTTTCTGAAAACTGAGAACATTATTCCAGCTCGTTCTTACGCCTATCAAGAACTATCTTAAACTTTTCGATTCCTCTTCAAATGCGGCTGTGGACTAATATTAATTTTTTATCCACGCGCCGATCTTAATTTATATTTTAACCCCAGCAAAACAAATACTATTTATTTTGCCAAAGTTTCCAAACGTGAAATCAGGCTCTATCAAAGGTACTAAAGTTGATCAGGTGAAATTTCTTCGATTTCTTGGTAGAATTTTAAATGACAGCTTCAAAGATTCCCATTCTGAAATGTAGCACTATCAAACTTATGACTCATCAGTCAGGCTTGCCTCCGAAAAATGCTTTGACTGTATACAAATCTCTAGTCAGGTCCAAAATTGAATTTGGACATTCCACATGTTGCAATTTCCCAAAATATATTGAGAAACGTATACAAGCATTTGAAAACCGAATGTTGAAGCGTTGTACTGGACTGACCCCCTCAACTCCTCAACATAGTCTTAATATCATATCTGGTGAGTGACCCGTTTCCGAAAGAGCTCTTTTTTGCACTGCCAAGGAGTTAATTAAGATCAAAATGATGAATCCTTCCTTTTTTCAGGAAGTTATATCTCTCAGTGATACTGTCTCTGACATCTACACTTTTTGCCACCAAAAACTTCGTCATATTTTTGATAAGATAGATTCAACTCCTCTCTGGAATTTTATTACAAGCAAATGTAGAGTATTCATGAACATTTTGGAATTAAAACAATATGTCAACTTCTCTTGTACGAGGATGTTATGCCAAGAAAAGCTCCTCCCTTATTACAACAACGGCTATGATGAAACACGTGCCATAAACAAAATAAAAATCTTGTGGGGAGAATATTTCTGAGCTTTCGCCTATTTTCATCGAAACGGGGACGGATTATGTTCATTTTCGTAGAAAAAGGTGTAGCTTTTGTTTATATGTACATCGTTTCTTGCACATGCAAATGGATGAAAAGAAGTTGAACAATTTTATTGGAGTTTTTTTTTAGAAAAATAACTTTCTGTCTAAAAGCTTGAGAAGCTGTAACGGATAACTCATAATAATGAGTGTTTTTTAACAAACAGTCCAGTACCGTGCCACTTCCGAAAATATCCATCCCCAAGTTTGAGGGTATTACAGAAAATGAAGGCAATTTTATGACTTATTACTCTACATGATCCGCAACCAGCCGATACCCAATGCCAATTTTTAAGGAGAATCTGAAAGACTAATCAGCCACTTGTCTAAAACTGAAGGCAATTACATCTCCGCTTGGACAACTTTGCAAGAACGATAAAACAATGAAAGAGTTCTTGTGTCAACATTGATGCCGCCTCAATCAAAAATATTCACGATACAACCAGAGAATGCTTTCCATTTTTAAGGAAGCGTTTTACCAATAACAAGTCTGTCTGCGTAATTGTCCGTCCATAGTCCGAAATATCTCCCACCGGTAACCATACCAACCCTAAAAGTGGCTGGTTTGTCTACCCTCCGCGTGTAAGTAAAAGTACTTCTTCTTTGACCGTTTCCTTAGCGTAAGTGTGTTACAAAGATGCGTAAAACAATTTCTCTTTTGTATTCAGATTTTTCTCTACACTGTAGGGGCCGCTCTCATATAAACATATTATAATCGGTATATTTATAACCAAAAAAAAAAAAAAATAAAAAATTATAAAGACATCAGAAAATATCTAAAAACATCTAAAGACGGAGCGGATAACATTTAGTCTATAAGGTTTAGTAAGTAGTTCTAGTTATTATTAACTTGAAATTTAAATTCATCATCTAAATATGTACTTGTTTCTGGTAATTTTCAGAGATATAAATGCCGCAGACGGTTCAGTCGGACATAATGTATCTGGCCTATGTAAAATAGTACATCGAGTCAAAGTGGTGGAGCGGATAACATTTAGTCTATAAGATTTAGTAAGTAGTTCTAGTTATTATTAACTTGAAATTTAAATTCATCAACTAAATATGTACTTGTTTCTGGTAATTTTCAGAGATATAAATGCCGCTGACGGTTCAGGCGAACATAATGTATCTGGCCTATGTAAAATAGTACATCGAGTCAAAGTGGTGGAGGAACTTTCCTCTCACTTTTGTTGAGTTGGTCGACATCAGACTTGCTTTATTAGAAAAGCTAATTTACAGTTTTAGATTTTTTTCTACTTTCTCTTTCTTTTGCGTGCTATCATTTTCTATTACTATAGCATTGCTTTTCGTTTTCAGCCAAAGTTTGCAGCACTGTTGAATTTCAACAACTCAACCAGACAATTACACACACACACACACAATTACACTTAAAATACCGGCTCCAGTCATTACGGCCGCTCTTTTCTTTGTTGCGTTTTATATATATTTGTGACCAAAATTACGACAGATTATTGTGTGGACATCTATTGGCTTAATCCATCTCTACTCAGCAAACCAAAAAAAAAAGAAAACGTTTAGAGAAAATAGAATATTGCCCGAAAAATAAACGAATATTTGCTGTGAATTCTATGTAAAAATCCATGATTTTAGGCATTTTTTTAGAAGCAAGTTGCATGTATTTGAAAACATTTGTAGCGAATGTTGTTGAAAATGTGTTCGATTTTATAGTGGTTGTTCAGTGATTTTTCTTCGATGCACTGCTGCTATTGATTTACTTAAGCAACTTACTAACAATTTAAATAAGGGAAATGGGTAAAACTTCAAAGGACAAAAGAGACATTTACTATCGCTTAGCTAAAGAAGAAGGTTGGCGTGCTCGTAGTGCTTTCAAACTGTTGCAAATTGATGAAAAGTTTGTTATAATAGACGGTTTGTGATTACTTACTTTTCAATACTGCTTTACTTCTCAAATTTCTAATTGTTATCAAAAAGGAGTCACGCGTGCAGTGGATTTATGTGCAGCCCCTGGAAGTTGGTCTCAAGTTTTATCGAAACGTTTATATGAAAACCGTTCTGGCAACGAAGATGTAAAGATTATAGCTGTGGACTTGCAGGCAATGGCACCGTTGAATGGCGTTACCCAAATACAAGGTGACATTACTAAATTGAGTACCGCTCAATCGATCATAGAACATTTTGGAGGTGAAGATCAAAAAGCTCAGCTTGTAGTGTGCGACGGTGCTCCCGATGTTACGGGCTTACACGATATCGATGAGTACATACAAAGTCAATTATTGTTGGCTGCTTTAAGTATTACTACGCATGTCTTAATGCCGGGTGGTACGTTTGTGGCCAAAATTTTTCGAGGCAAAGACACTAGTTTGTTGTATTCACAGTTACGTATATTTTTCGAAAAAGTTTCAATTGCTAAACCGCCTAGCTCACGGAACTCTAGTATAGAGGCCTTTGTAGTTTGTCAAAACTATAATTGCCCTGAAGGTTATATACCGCAAATGATAAATCCCATGGTGGACGATGTTAAAGTTATCGCTGGGGCTACCGATTCAAAAATAAATCGGGAGCTAATACCTTTTGTTGTATGCGGAGATTTAAATGGCTTCGATTCGGATATGTCGTATAATTTGAATGTAAGTTTGTCATATTGAAAAGAAAATATTAATGCAATTGCTACTCATTCTAGCTTGAAAAGAATGTTGAATACACTTACCACGAAGTAGTACAAAAACCAATCTCACCTGCTTATAAAGAGATATTAGACAAGCTAAAAAATTTTTCGATAAAACACACCGCAATAACGGTAACGCATTGCGCAGGTGAAGAAAAGTCAAAGGAAAATGAATCGCAATCGTCCGCTCAGGAAGAAAACACATTAGCAAATACAGCAGATTAAGCAATATAATTAAGTAATATAATTCATATGCAATATAACACATAACATTACAGATACATTAGCAAGAAACCTCTTTAACTGATGGCAGCAGCTGCTGGCTTAGTACCATATCTGCAAACTTTGGTTAAACCTTCTGGAAAATCTGGCAGTAAATTTTTAAAATTCTCCACTTGTTGACCAACCCGTTCCGCCCATACTCCGTCACCGGTGAAATGATATTCACTCTCAATTAAATAGAGAGTCAATGCTAAAATGTCCTTTTTATTTAATGGGTCCTTGTAATCTAGTTGCAATTGCTGCAGAAAGTCAGGCAAGCGTAGCAATTGTAATTTCTCATCAATTCGTTTGCTGGAAGAAAAAAAAAAATCTAAATATAGGCCCTTAAAACTCTTTCAACTTTTTTGCTAAAGTCCTGTTTTTTACTCCATGTTCGTATATAACAATGATTAGTTGAATTAAAAACCCTATACTATTTGAAAATATATATTTGAAAAATGGTGATGAACGTACGCTAATTACGGAATCATTTGCCAGCGTGTCTTGTTAAGAAAAGGGAAATCAAACATAATGCCACGATTTCTACGTTCTAACTTCAAAGATAGACTGCGAGAGCGAAGGAGGAGCAATAATTAGCGATAATTCACCAGGGATCCATATCAGAATATCTCCTGGTGAGGTATAAAAATAATGGCAATAGTCCACTTACATGGGATATAACAACAAATGCATGTTGTCGTAAATATCAGCTTTTGAAAACTCGTTATTCAAGAGAAATTCATAGCATTGCTTTACGTGTACGATAGGTATATGGCACCAATTGGGATGTCGCGACATAACATTGCGTAAATCTGCGACTTCTTTGTTCAAAACATGAGCCAAATAGACTACGATATCTCGTCCCCTAGTACGATCTTCGCCATCCCGAGCAAATCTAGAGTAAAGAAAGAACGTAAGATTTAATCGCTTTTACCCTACTTTCTTGAATTTTTACCTGGCAAAAGTATCTGAACTGCATGATAATATGTGCAAGGAGACACAACGTACTTTTAACTGATTTAGATATTCTAAACGAAGTCGTGCTTTATTCTGATAATGTACTAATCTTAATACTCTTGGATTGCAATTTAAAACTTGAAATTCCTCTACTTCGTTTAAATCTTTTAAACGTTCTAAAACCGTGTCAGGTCCCAATGTTAACACTTCTAAACACCTTAGCACAGCATCTTCTTTTATGCCATAATCCTTGATGTGTTTTAAAGTAGTTATCAACGCATTGCACGGCGACATCATAATTTTTGGAAATTTGTGTAATATTTCCCGTATATCCTCACCATCGATAGATGGTATGTCCCTTAAAATCCGTTCGACGTTTTGAAAGTCGGCACACAGAGTAAAAGCATTCTTGCTTATACGTTCCGAGCTAAATTGTAACTCTTCTGAAAGCAATTTTATCATTTTTTGTACTGAATAAAAACTTTTATGTCTAATACGCCCGTATGCGCTCCACAGTTTTGTGGTATCGTTTTGATTCCAATTCAGCCTTTGTTGCAAATAGTAGCTCATAAAGTGTTGCCTTAAGGCTTTTAATTCTATATTTTCATTGCAAACCATATCATCGGGCAATTGGATATCAATATCGGTAAACGTTTGCCTTAGTTTCTCTATAACATCTAAGTCATAGGGGATATGATTGAAAGACTTTAACGTGCCAACGTCTTTATTCATAGCCACTAAATAACGGGATAGCAAAGATATGGATATATTATTAAAGCCGCATTCTTTTAAGACATAATAACGATTCTTTAACGAATGTGTGCCAGTACACAGAATTGTAGGTTTTAATATTATATCATCCACATTAAAGTTTAGTTTCTTTAGGACTTCCACAGTATTGATAACTTCCTTTTCTTTCAACGTTTGCAACGTAGGATATTTTTTTAAAATTGCTTTCCACTTACTAGCGCTCGAACCTTTAATAGAATAAATAAAGAATTGATCGTCAATAATCTCTCATTCTTACCTATGTTCTTAACAAAAAAAGTTATTCCTAAATGATCGGCGGAGGTTTCTTTTCTGTAATTTCTACAAAATACAGCCAAAGTGTGATGGCCAAACAATTGCAAATTTCTATAAGTTCGACCAAACATCTTTTTTTGAAGAGAATATTTAATACATCCAACAAAGCATGGTTAAAATCACTTATGCTGTAAAAACATCTCTTATTTAACGTACAAGAAGGGAAATATATGTGAGAAGAGTTATCAATAATAAATATGTATTTACCCATATGTTCACGTTTGTTTTTACCTTCTTCTTCTGTGAGTTGGCAACAACAGATAATTTGTGGATTGATAGGCCAATGTAGTTGACAGGTAGTTTAATTGCAAACGTTGTGAGGGCTAAAGCCCTGGTTCTGGGGTAAGCTCAGTGGCTCCAGGTTTTTATTTCATAAAAATCATTTTTTGGTGGTTTTTATTTTCAATGATTTCAAGAGCGTTTTACAATTCAAACAAATTACCGTTTCTTTTAAACAATATTGGTTTGTTTGTAACTATTACGTTGCTTCTTATATTCCATTTCTTATCTTGATTTTTATTTTTAAGTGCTATTAAGGTTTAAACAAACACGACTTCTAGCGCTTCAAAGTAAAGTTAATATTCAGTTTTGAATTTCACTTACAATCTGGGCCCATACTACTGTTCACTTTGCCAGCTCAAAGCTACTGCTTAAATTCAACTAAAACTTAACTAACTCGTAGCCTAAACTAAACTAACTCACTTGTCTCTTGTGTAGACGAAACTTGACTTCAACGTCAACTTAAGCCAACTACTCTCACTTTGTTCTGATTTCCCTTTACTGAACCCTAATATTTAACCTACCTTGATTTAGCACTTCCCTCAGAGACGAAGAACCTGTGAGGCCAAAACGAGGGACGACTTTGGCTCGTCACAACGCATACAGATATATAGGCATATATTAGGTTTACTATAAGATCCGCCGCATAACTCAAATCGTTTTTATCTTCCCCGAATTTCATTTAATGTTCCTATTTTATTTTGTTTTATTTTATTGTCTCGATTTTGTGGCGAAATGGTCTGGGATTTTCCTCTTCTTCAAATAATTACAAGATGATGCAGAGCAAAATGAATTTCGTAATGCAAGAATTTATGGAGTGCAAGTGTATGGGAGCATCTTATGGAAGAGTTGAAACGTTGCGAAAATAAAAAAAGTATCCGAAGGAACAGAGTGACAGTTTGACTGTGAATATTTATATACATTGTTGTCAAAGCTTTAAAAAAAAGAAAAATTTGCATGAGCGCAAAATGCGAAAATGCTGCGATCATGAAGACCGCGTAGCGAAAATTCTTGAAGCGTGCATTGGCGGATAGTAATTGCAAAATTCGAGCAGACAAATAGAAAATGCTCAAGATATTGCAAAACCACATATGTACATAAGTGGTTTCTCACTATGTTAATTTTGAACAGGGGATCATTGCATCTCGTGTGACTAAACGTCAGCCTATTAAAAAGGTAAATAATGCTCCATCTGAGGCCGAAATTGGTAAACCAAGATGTTATATTTATTTGCGGATATAAAAAATATAAGTGACGATCACGAATTGAATTATTTCATAGCTAAACGAGGATTATTTATAGCTGGGGTTTCGCTCAGGGCTGTCCAGTTGCCCGTTTCAAGAAAATTTGTTCTTTGAAATAACCTTCGCTTTTTGGTGTTGGATCAAATATATATTTATGGAATCCAAGAGGCATTCATGATGGCCTTATTTGCGACTTAACTTCGGGGTGAAAGAAAAAAACCAACGCGCCGTGAGTGGTCTTCCTTCGCCGAAGGAAATATAACTCACGTACGACTGAAACTGTTTGTTTAACTGCTGAACAACTAAAGGAAAGATTCCTGCTTACGCGCGGCTTTTATAGTGGTTGGCTGCCGCACCAATGCATTGATATTTAGAGCTTTCACCACGAGGTGTGTTTACTTAGGAGACTAATTTACTGAAAGCTATATTCGTATGTGTAAGTAAAGGTGTAAACGAAGTTATATAGCGTTGCATTATAATTTTGCGTGCAAATATCAGGCAACGTTGTCTGTATGGGTATTTTCAAGAATAACCATGTCACTAGGCGCTTAGAGAAAATGGAAACAAAATGCATCGGATTTGAGACTGCATAGCAAAGGTCTGATTTTTAACACATAAGACTGAGTTTTCTCTGAAGGTTAACACGTATTTTTGGTAGATTCAATGAGAAAATAAATAACTGCGCAACCTAGGTATATAGTGATAACATGTCTATTATGGTAAAACCGAGTAACCGTACTATAATTCTGTTGGAACATAATGGTGTGATATACAGTCTTTAAACGGTCTTGATTTCTTCGCCGTCTGTTGGGTAGTTATTGGATTGAAGTGATTTCCTGAGCTGCTTCTTGTTTCTTTCCTTGTGTAACGCGCTTGGCGGCGCATCAGCACTAGTTTATCAAATTCTAAATTTGTGTGATATCAAGACGAATTTGAAGTGTGTGTATAGTGAGCTATTTCCTTATTGCTGTTGAACCTTTATTTGTTGTGAGAATGGCGCCTGGTAAGAAGAATGTTCAACGTGCAATGAATTAATTGGTAGGCATGGGCCTGTAGGTTGGGAAATGTGTTTAACATGGCTATATGCCTCGTGTATTGGTCTATCGAGTGAGGATGTTCTTAGGATGAGTGATGATGGATCTCTTTCTTCTTTTTGATTAGAGTTCAGAACCATTGATAGATGGATATTACTAAACGAGGATGATCCGTGTTACATGTATTTACAGGAACAACATCGGTGGGTAA